TAAGTATTCCAGAGGTCAACGCTGCGATTGTCCTTTTCGGTACACAAACCCTTGCCGCCAAAAGAGTGCCGGCTTGACCTCAGTAAAAGATGTCCTATTACATTCCCTACCATTAATGCCAGATACGATGCACATCCGCGAGTCGTCCTTCATGCATGCGGCAATTTGGACATAATAGTGCCATATTTCAATCAGTTTGGGAGGATAACTGCCGTGAAACGATGACATTTTTATTAATGACAAGCATACTCGTACATCTCATAAATTTGGATTTCTTTCTCTTTTGTAATGCACTGACTTAATAAATAAGTAACTGAAGTAGTAAATGAAGAAATATTTGAAATTTTATTCAATATTACATATCAAATGATAATTATTGAAAGGAACGTGTACATTGTCATATGAATTACAATGAAGGAGTGCATAATCAATCAATTATGGAGTAATTATGATAAACAAAGCTGTACGACAAATACCCTGTATTATCAAATAATTTTACAATTTTGTAGAATTCTTTTAATGTACATTCTTTAATTAATATTGTACTTATACTCGTAATATATTCATGAAATATTTTATTTAACAATAAATATATGTTTATAGATAGAATTAAAACATTTTCGTTTCTTCCTGTGTATAAAATAATAAAATAATACATATGTATATATAGTCATTATTGTAAATCTGGATTATCGCTAGTCTGGCCGCAGATTTGACTGCAAGCCTGGCGAAATCCTGCCATTGGTACCTGTGTAGTAATTAAATTATTGGTTGGAAATCGTGAAAATTGCCTTTTTCTGTATAGCGACATCTACAGGAGAATTATTGTGTGAGAAATTTCAAATTTTAACGGACTTCTTAAATGTCGAGTATGAGTGGATTCAGTGGATTATATTCTCCGCAAGCAGATCAAATTGGTCGTATAAAAGAGTTCGTTGGCGTGAAGTTATTTTCTCATTATCGTGCGCATTAATGATTTAACTTGTACTTAGTTTAGTAAATCTGTCATGTAATAAACTTGAGGAGAACTGTTTAATCCGATAAAATACAGTGATCATTAGGATTTCGAGACAGGTTGTATGTGTTATCGTTAGTCCTACAATTAAATATCAATTTTAATTATTTTTAATCATCGGTCATCGCAATGTCTCATCTAAAATATATGAAGGAGATAAATAATTTAACTTGCATGGACGAAAATATTAAAGGTCCACTTCCACGTTGGCAGAAAAAATGCTTAGAAACATCAAATTCTAGGTATCATATTATTATTGTTAATTATTATGTTACTATTTGATCATTTCTTTAATTGGGAACTAACATTTATTATCTACTTATCTGTGCAGCATCAATGCTAGTATTAATTCATCGAGGAAAGCTACAAATGCATCATTTGCAAGTATTAATATGACAAAGACACCGTCAGCAAAGAATGACAGTAGAAATAAAAAGACACCTTGCAAAGG